AAGTTAAATAGATCCTTCAACTTTTCATGTATTCACTATATACAAAAACTCTCAACATAATGCTAGAAGACCATCGACAAGTCAGCGTGTGATTTTTTTTCCCAACCACTGGCACGGAACAGAAGTGCCATAAGTGATTGCCTGTGGTTCTAGTAATGGGCAGTAAGAGTGTAACTAAAGGAAGAAAGGGTTTAAAAAAGAATGGGTAAGGAAATCCGGATCACAGATTGGGGAGTTAACATTTATTGAGTGCTGCTATGTGTCAGGCACTTTACGGAGTGCTTGCCATAAACTATAGGGTAAATATTGCTATCCCATTTTCAGATGAGGGAGCTAAAGTTCAGATAAGTACTTTCCCATGGTTGAACAGGCAGCCCTGAGAGGGAGCAGAATTTGAATGCAGGTCTGTTCCAAAATCTACGCCCATTTCAGTACAGAACTCTCCAAGAAGGGTGGCATCACTGTATTGTAATCCAAGCCTCCCCAGCTGGGAGGTTCTGGATGAGGTCACACTGATACATTGAGGTTTCACTAGCTCTAAGTCCCTACTGCCCACCTAAGAATTCTACCCGGTGAATCAGTCTGTACTGCTACCTTCACTGGCCTCTTCCACTTGGGAAAACTCACCACCACTGACCTTGACAGCTTTATGCAGAACCCCCTTCCCCCCCCCACCGTGATCCTCTCGGTCCTGACAGTTCAGTGGTCTCTTTCACTGTCCGAAGGCTGCTCCGCTCTTTCTATATCACGCTCTGTTGCTCTAGGGCCACAGATTTGGGAAGTGATTGGGTGGCATAGCAGGATTGATTGGTATATGTGTTTCATTAGCTCAAGCATTTCTCGAAGGCCTCTGTAAGAGGGAGAGGTAGGTGAGCAGGAGCTCATGAACCTGGCTCTTCCGGAGATGAAGCTATCGCTTTAGTGAGAGGAGGCAGACAATAAGCATGATAATTGCTAATTGTAGCAAATGCTATTAAGAAAATAAACAGAGCAAAATAATAACAAGTAATGGGAGAGGAGGTGGCAGGGGTTTTTGCATTAAAGTGTTAGAGCTTCTAATAAGATAGCTATTTTTTTTTCACAAACACAGCTTTTTTTTTTTTTTTTTTTTTTAAGCTTCCCCAGAGCAATCACTCCTATCAGGGTAGCTGGGCAGCTATAAAATGGAAAAGCAGTCATGATGCCTTCCCTGATACCATCATTCCGCTCTAATGGCCACACACTGTTGTGGAGTCCACTTTATCCTATTCGCCTCTTTCATCCCTCCAGATTGGTGGCTCTGAAACCGACGTTACCAGAATCACCGGCAGAGTTTAAGAATGCAGATGCCTGGGCCCTGCCTCTAGAGTGAGTTGATTTGGGCTGGGTCTCAGTCATGGGTTTTTAAAGTTCTCAGATGATTCCAGTATGTGGGCAGGGCTGCATCTCAGTGCTCCACAGCAGTGGGTCTCAAACGTGAGCGCGCACCAGAACTGTCTAGAGGAACTGATCATTGCTCCGCAGGCTGCTCTCCATTGCCTCACCCAAGTAGGGGGCCTGGTTGCTTCAGTAAACTCACGGTGGCTCCTGATTTTATTGCCTCTGGTTCTCATATGTAGGGCCGCGCTGCTCGAACTTTAATGGGCATATGAATCACATGGGGATCCCGTGGAAATGCAGGTTCGGGGTGACTGCCAGAGGGAAATAGGGAGATGTTGTTTTAATAGGTGTAGAGTTTTAGTTTTGCAAGAGGAAGAGAGTTCTGGAGATGGGTTGCGTAACAACCTGAAGGCACTTAACACTACTGGAAGGCACACTTAAAAATAGTGAAGACAGTAAAAAAAAAAAATAGCGAAGATGGTAAATTTTGTGCTGTGAATATTTTAGCACCCTTTTTTTAAAAATGCGGATTCAGTAGATCTGGGGCAGGGCCTGAAGTTCTGCATTTCTTTTTTTTTTTTTTAAGATTTTATTTATTTATTTGAGAGAGAGAATGAGAGGGGGGAGGGTCAGAGGGAGAAGCAGACTCCCTGCTGAGCAGGGAGCCTGATGTGGGACTCGATCCTGGGACTCCAGGATCATGACCTGAGCCAAAGGCAGTCGCTTAACCAACTGAGCCACCCAGGTGCCCTGAAGTTCTGCATTTCTTTACGCTCCCGAGTAATGTGGACACTGCTGCCCAGGGACTGCACCAGAAGAAGCAAGGGTTCAAGGTGCATCGGTGTTACCTGGATGACTTGATTTAAGGTCAGTTCTCCACACCCATTTCAGAGATCTTGATTCAACATGTCTGAAATGGGGCTCAAGGGTAGCTGCTCAGAATTCCCCACGTTAAGAGATAATGTGAGGGGCGCCTGGGTGGCTCAGTTGGTTAAGCGACTGCCTTCGGCTCAGGTCGTGATCCTGGAGTCCCGGGATCGAGTCCCACATCGGGCTCCCTGCTCAGCGGGGGGTCTGCTTCTCCCTCTGACCCTCTTCCCTCTCGTGCTCTCTGTCTCTCATTCTCTCTCTCAAATAAATAAATAAAATCTTTAAAAAAAAAAAAAGAGATAATGTGAGAGATAACCTTCCATGGGCTTCACTTCCAAAAAGGAGAAAGATTATTTGCAGGTACAAAACTGATTCTGGTATTTTATTTCATGTCCAAATAAAAGTTTCTGTGTGTTTTACAGCTCTATAAAATTCAGTGTCCTTCCTAGTTCAGAGAGTTGGGAATGGAAAAGATTTTCCTCTTCCACTGGAAGAGGGAGTAGAGCCCCCCTGAATCTAATCAGCCAGCACCCCCTTTGGCCGACTGTGGGTCATGGTTGTCCTGGAGCTCTTGGAAAATGGCAGCCCTAGCAGATCACAGCTCAGGATCCCATGTTGGGCCATACCTGACAGAGTATACTCCCCAGACCTCCTGTCCCATGCCCAGAACCACCCCCCAGTCCACACCATCTCTGGTTCAGAGCCAGACCCAGTAACCCACCAATCCACACCCACTCCCGGGAAGTCTAAGGACCCTGGAGGCAGGCACACATATAATAGTTACTACTTCTGTGCACCTGCTATATGACAACCTTTGCCCCGTCATTTCATTTAATCCTCTTACCAATTTATGAGGACTCTATTGCTGTTATCACCATTTTATGGGTGAGAAAATAGAAGCTCGGGTAGTTAAACAACTTACCCAAAATCATAGAGCCAGGATGTGACAGAGCCAAGATTTAAAACTAGCTTTGTCTGGCAAGGATGCCCCGGCTCTTTACACTATGGAGACTGGCTTTGCCTGGGCCAGGAATTTGGGCCAAGAGTGGCTTGAAGTTCAGGAGCACTAATTAGCACTGGAGCTGTGACTCGGATGCCAGGAAAGAGCCTTCGCATTCAAAGTGTGCTTGACCACTGCTCACCCTCCCCACTTCATAGCTCTCTCTAGGAGGATTCTTATTTACAGTAAATTGCACTTAGCCTTCCTAGCAAGTAATAAATATTTTAAAGAGTAACTGGTTAATCTAAATGAGTCCATGGTTGATAGAAAGTATAAGAGAAATTCGTGGGACAGGGTGTCGGGTGAGGTGTTGAGGGAATTTTCTCTTAGATAAGATTTTTGAAACTGAAAGGGCTTCTGGGTCATCTGGTCCCATTTTACAAACATGGCTTACTATAAATTCCCCCCCAACTTTTTTTGTCATTTAAACCCCTCCCCCCCCACCTTGTTCTAAACAGGAATTGAAGATGAGGTTATTGAAACACAGGTCTAAATATGTATTCAGCATTTTATTGAGTACCCCTTTCCCTGATTCTGCGCTCAAAATATAAAACCCAAAATAAAATGCATGACCCTGAGACACTCAGTGTCCTGGTGTGTATATTATTTTCTTGGGTGCTGAGGCAGCTCCGCGGAAGGAGGAAGCAGTACAGTGCCTAGAAGAGACATTGTAGCTGAGTCTTGAAGGATGGCAGGTGTACGCATTTACTACGCCAACGAACGGGGCAAGAACCTTCTAGGCAGAGAGAGCCAGGGAAGGTCAACTGGCAGCCCATGGCAAATCATCTTCCAGGAGCCAAGGGCTTGTGGGGAGAAGGAGCAGGGTATACACCAAGGGTCAGAGAGGTTTTAGGCATGGATGAAAGAGTGAGAGCCTTTAGCAGAGGTGTGCAGGCCAGGCTAGCCAAGCTGCTAGGAGGGCCGGCACCGACGCCCCGGGGCTGGGCAGAGGAAGTGGGACTGGAAGGGAAGGAGACCTGGTGCTTGCTTTCACTCAGCTCTCACAACGGTACTTTGTAGGAGTTGGTCCAACCAGCCTGGGTCTGAGATTCAACAGCAAGGCCGGAGAAACATGGAAGGAAGACCTAAAGAAGCCACTACCAGAATTTGAATCTGAAAGGAATCTTAATGCCTTAACAACAAGTAGAAGTATTGCAGTTAACTTTTTTCAAGTATGAATGAACCTGAAGTGAAGTTCGCTTAAGTTAAAGGGATTTTTTCCCCTCCCTAGGTAATTCTATTGGCTCATCCAGGGATTTCTTTTTTTTAACTTTATTATGTTATGTTAATCACCATACATGACATCATTAGTTTTTGATGTAGTGTTCCATGATTCATTGTTTGCGTATAACACCCAGTGCTCCATGCAGAGCGTGCCCTCTTTAATACCCACCACCAGGCTAACCCATCCCCCCATGCCCCTCCCCTCTAAAACCCTCAGTTTGTTTTTCAGAGTCCATCATCTCTCATATCGTCTCCCCCTCGAATTTCCCCCCCCCTTCATTTTTCCCTTCCTGCTATCTTCTTTTTTTTTAAACATATAATGTATTATTTGTTTCGAGCGCTGTGAATTGTGTCATCAAGGGATTTCTGAAAGCGCTAATAATGACCAGTGAGGCAGGTGTTATTTCGGGACTTAGTCCACGCCCCACACTCGCCCCTTTACAGCATTACCTTGCTGCCCTGCTCCTTCCAGCTTCCTCTCGGCCCTGCCAAATCTGCTGTCTCAGCAGCACTGGACGGACTTTGCAGGCTTCCTGGCAGTGTCTGTGGGACCATGAGGTCAGGGTGACCTGATTCCTGTTTGCCCAAACACAGGAGAGCGCAGTGTTTTTTTCAATCTGTTTTTCAACTGCTGATACGTAGCGAAGTGGAAATCTCTCTTCTCACCCACCCCACCACCCACACCTGCACAAATGAAACGCGCTAGCAATAACACAACAGTGAGAAGACTTTTCTTGGTTATTTGGCCCCCAAAAGATGACTTCGTTGGGAGGTGGCGGGGGAGGACTTTGCTCCATACGGAGCCACAGAATGTTTGTTAGATTCAACTTTGTAGTTGAAGAAACTAAAGCTCAAACAGGTACGTAACTTAGATCTGGTCATAGAGCTAGTTAGTGGCAAAGCTGAAACTATAAATCAGTTCTAACTCTTAGCCAGTACTTGTCTACTATACCTTTTCTTAACTCCCTCTCAAGTCATTTAAAAAAAGAAGTATCTAGAGAAACAAAATGAGCCCTGGAGAGCTAATCATTTAATGATCAATCACATTGGCCCCTTAATTAACGATGTAAGTATTCCCCTGCAACATCTCATAGGGAACGTTTTTACTGAACCATATTAGTTTCTCAGATATTTCTCCTTTGACTCTTGCAGCCATCCCTAAAGAAATGGCCCAGAGGAAAGCAGAATTTCAATTCAAAAAGGAATCTTTTAGGCAGAGAGAACTCTTGCCAATCTGAGCATTTAAGCCTCCAAAAATGTATTAGATAATAGAGAGTAAAAGCATTTATATTCAGGAGTCTAGGAATCTGCATATACTTTATAAATATTAAGATCGTATTTCCAGAAAATTGGAACAGAACATGAAGAATATATTTTCATATTTTATATATGTGCAGCACAGAATTCATCTCCCCAACTTTAACCTAAAATCTATGTAGCAAATCATCCTTTACCAAAATTACTTTGCTCTGAATCTAAATCAACTGAAAAAAAAAGAAGTGCCTGAAACCTTGATGGGAAGAAATTTATCCTCTAAAAACGAGGTCTCTTGTAAACAGAGGCTGCTAAAACTGGACAAGAAGGTTACCAGGTCACGGTCTTGGCATTTCATGCTCTATCCTGCCACATTCCAAAAAGGATTTTTAGCCATTGGAAGACATGTTCCAGGATCGAAGGAAATGTAATTATTTGAAAATTATGCTGATGTGGCTTTATTTTTTATTTTTTTTATTTTTAAGATTTTTATTTATTTAACAGAGAGAGAGAGAGCACAAGTAGGCAGAGCGGCAGACAGAGGGAGAGGGAGAAGCAGGTTCTCCGCCGAGCAGGGAGCCCGATGCGGGGCTCGATCCCAGTACCCTGGGATCATAACCTGAGCCGAAGGCAGCCGCTTAACCGACTGAGCCACCCAGACGCCCGCTGATGTGGCTTTATATGTGCTGAGTTGTTATCATCGCCAGGATTAGATTTAGTTTTTCAATTCATCTGAATTGCAGTGCATCATAATTAACTTGTTTTTTTGGTTTTGAAGTTTTTGGTTTTTTTTTTTCTGGACTAAGAAGATGTACATCATGTAAAGAAGAATGTTGCAACTACTTGGACCCACTTATTCCACTTCTAGGAATTCATCCTAAGGAATTATTTCAGTAGGGAAAAATGCTAATCATGCAGAGATGTTTATAATCAACTTTATTTATGATGGCCAAGAAGCAAGAATGAGTAACAACTGGACAATGGTTAAATAAACTATGGCAGTAATTCAGTTAGAATAATATGTGACCATTAAAACTGATATATAGGAAAGCATATAAGAAACAATCACACGTATTATACCTCGTAATTTTATACTTCTGAGTTCACAAATTGTGTTTATGTTACATTACCTCATTTATTCTTCACAACAACCTTGTGAAATAGAAGCAATTCTCTCCATTTGCTGATAAGAAAACAGACGAGTGAAACTGAAGTGGTTTGTCTGAGGTCACTCATGAAATATTCAACACATTGACCACAAAGGTTTAAAAACTATACATACATGGAGCAAGATTGGAAAGACCGTAACAAGTTGCAAAGAGTTGCTCTCTTCAAACAAAAAGTGTTCTATTTTTTACATACACTACATTTGTTTATCCATCATCTGCTAATGGACACTTGGGTTGTCCCACTTTTTGGTTATTGTGAATAATGCTGCAATGAACATTAGTATACAAATAACTATTTGAATCCCTGTGAATTATTTTAATTTTTTAAAAAAGATTTTATTTATTTATTTATTTATTTGGGTGGGGGAGTGAGCACGTATGAGCAGGGGGAGTAGTGGAGGGAGAGGGAGGGGAAAGAATCTTAGACAGACTTCCCTGCTGAGCAGGGAGACTGAGTAGGGGGGCTCGATCCCACGACCCTGAGATCATGACCTGAGCCGAAACCGAGAGTCAGACGCTCAACCGACTGAGCCACCCAGGCGCCCCCAATTTTATTTTTAATAGTAATTTCATTTCTTGCCTATATAGCATGTGTGATGTGTATTTAAACTCTATTGAGAGGCTTTCTCTTTGAGAGGTTAGAGCCCCAACGACTTCACAAAGTAATCGTACAGATGAAATATTTTTACGATTTTGAAATACAGATAGAAAATAGGTATAAACAAGGAGAGAGGCTTAACACAAAGGAAATAAAGGTGCAGCTTAATGATAGAATCTAAATATCAAATACCACAACTCCTGCAATACAGCCTGCATTTCTCTCTTTACAGGTATTTGTCTTAGTTTCCTGGAAGTGAACACAAATAGATGAAAACTTGAGAGGCTAGGTTAGAGTATTCTTAGAATACTTAAAAAATTTTTTTAATTTAATACTGTTTTAAACTCTTCAACCTTATTCTGTGAGTTTAAGGAAAATTAATTTTGTTAAAAGCAGACTTTTTTTTTTTTTTTAAATCTGTGTCTTGACAGAGCTGCCATCCCTGGCATCTAGGAACTTTAAAAGAGATTTTGTTTTGGCTTCAAATGCTGTCAGATGTTATTCACACCGTGAGTGGGTTTTCTATAAACACAGAGAGCACGCTGACCTTGTCAGAAGGTGAGATAGGACAAACAAAACAGATGGTCAGTTGCGCATCTGCCCACATAACCCCAAAAGCTGATTCTTATTTTGAAAACCCCGCAGGGGCGCCTGGGTGGCTCAGTCGTTAAGTGTCTGCCTTTGGCTCAGGTCACGGTCCCAGGGTCCTGGGATCGAGCCCCGCATCGGGCTCCCTGCTC